AACCGCCCTTTTCTACTAATAGTGGGTTTTCGTACAATGTACATGCATATCTTCACCTTACTAATTGACTCCTATTATTACAACTGCACGTAACTCAGTATTACACTAAAATAGCCGAAAGAGAGTCGGGGATTTCCAGTTGCATATTTTTAGAAAACCCAATGGAGTTATCTAACTTGGATAGTGGCGCTGGATCGCGAACGGAAGTAGATTTAAGATGACAGAAAGCGCTTTGCGCTGCGCTTAGCGCTTAAAAAAGAATCTTTGTTTTCAAATTTGATATCAGAATGACATAAATATGCATTTTTATTGCACTACAAAGCAGATAGTATGTATAGATCAATTCAGCCCATTGGGATTAATGAGTGGACATGCATCCAGTTAAAGATTAATTAATGAGTTCAGTGTAGGAAGGCTAGCTGTCTCAATCATTTCTGTTAGAGGATCTCTGATCAAGCAGCTCTTATCTGTATCCTTTGGGAATTAGACAGAAGAAATGCTTGTCAGTGTATAGCATATGTCATTTGATGGCCAACCTTTTATTTTTTATATTAATTTGATATAGATTAAGTTGTTAAGACTAAATTGATATTGTTTAATATGATATTTTTGATTAATTTTTTGAAAATATCAACAAATTCAGAGCATCATGTCTCACAAATCTGAATGGTGGAAGGTGGGGGGTGGGGGTGGGGGGCTGCAGATTGGCATTTGTCAAGCTCTAACACAACCAGTTGAAGATCTTTAAAGTAATATTTGTTATAATTAATGCCTACACCACAGGAGATGTATAAACAAATATTATGAGGAATGCAAAAATCATTGAAATCCTTGTATCAAGGTTGACATGATTTTTTTGCACTCCAAACTGTTTATGACAATTGAACAATATTTGATGGGTGTATCATGCTGTGGCGGGGCACTTTATTTTATATTTTCACTCATGCTTCGCACTCGTGAAAATATCACAGAATTCTGTCTCACGAGTAAAATAAATTCCATATCCAACTACAAAACATTGAATTTTTTGTTTATTACATTTTCTTTGATTTTCCCTTTGCCTCTGTCTTTTCTTAACACAGTCTCATAGGCTGTGATGTCATAGTTGAGCAGTTGAGACATCATAGCTTAGCAGTTGTTAGATTGAAAGCATTGTAACATGGACTTTAGCAACATATTTGGGAAGAAATTGGCAGTTTTAGTCTCATTTGAATTGGATTAGTTACTTAATTTCTCAATCTTATCAGAGGCCAGAAATTATATTTTACTTACTTTGATATCCTTTCACACTGTGAGAGAATATCACTTTGGTATCCTTTCACACAGTGACAGAATATCGCTATAATTCAATGAATAAATCACAGTATTTCACTGTTGAAAATATAATAAAATTCATGTTTAGGTTATACTCTGAGAATAATGTACATGTATAAAAGAACTGTTGGTCAACAAACATTTGTAATTTTTTTTTCATATTTGTGCAATAAGAATCACCAAGAATGGTTTTTAAAAGATTGAGCAAAACCAATATTTGTTTTCTTATCATTTTCCACTGGAGAGTGAAGTCTTCTAGAGAACCAATAATTATAACCTCCTGATTTTTTTCTTTGAATAAGACATAAATGCTGTTTAACTGAGTTAACTGTATGCATAATAAATGATTTCTGCATTTTCCCCTATAATTTCACAATTTATAGTCACAGTAAATTCACCAAATTATTAAAATCATATATTTTTCATATATAGGAAATGAAATCACAGGTTATCTGGATTACTTCCTTTAAAAAAAAAAACGAGCTACAGATATTAACCACTGTGCATTAATTTTACAATTGTCCCTATAATACACACCATATTAAATTATGATTGCACATTATACAAAATAATATGGCTGTCATTTCCTTGTTGTTCTTGAAATATTCAAGTTTTTTTTTCCTTTGTACATAGTATTGTAGGGGAACCATTGAATTTTTTTTTTTTTTTTTTTTTTGCTTCTGTTAGTGGAGGATTTAAAGAACTTGGCTTTATTTTCACCTTTCCTGAATAACTATGTTTCCTTAGGAAAGAAACCTTACATTTAAACAGTTACCAAATTAGTTTGGAGATGCACCCCATCCTATAGTCCTGGAGGACATGATTAATGTTTATATTCGGAAGCTTTCCATTAATTATGTCCTTTCTGGCCTTGTGGTTCTCAGAAAAAAAATCAATGACTTCACCATATTTTCACTTTTTTCTGCTTTGAAAGAAGGTGAGGCTCTTTATTTGAACAAAACCCAAGGATGCTTTGCTTCAAGTGTATATGGCTAAAATTGACCCACTTCCCTTAGAGAATTCAATCTCCAGATTTCTGGAAAAGGGCGTAGAGGAGGATCTGGAAGGGCTTCCCCTCCAATGAGCCAGAAGAAAAGGGTTCTTGTGAAGTAGTCCTTTTAATCTAATTAAATAAACCAAATCTAGTTTCATTACTAATTGTAAGAATAATGTATTTATTTTGTTTCAAAATTGATGTTCTTAAATGTTTGTAACGAAACAAAAAACAATCCCTTGGATACAATACAAACGAAAATCGCATACAAATAAGAAATTATACAATGCAACTAAAAAAAATTACAATACAAATGTAAAATATAGAAACAAAAAAAGTATACAATACAAATAAGATTTTTACAATACAAATGAAAACAAAAATTGAATACTGAATGGAAAATTATTAAATACAAATGGAAAGTGCGAAAAACAAATTAAAAAAAATATACAAAAATATAAAGAAGAATTTTTACAATACAAATGGAAAAGATCAAATATTGCAACGTTTGACATGCCATAGCTGAGATAATCACATGATCTGATATCAAAAATCACATGTACTGATAGTGAGGGTGGTCGGTCCGATAAAAAAGTAGATTGCTATATCGGTGTATAGGAAGGTATCTTGTAATTTCTGGTAAGAGGTATACTCATTTATAGAGGATATTCAATGTTTTGTAGATGAATATGGAATTTATTTCACGAGTGGGACAGGATTTTTTGATATTTTCACGAGTGCGAAGCACGAGTGAAAATATCAAAAAATCCTGTCTCACGAGTGAAATAAATTCCATATTCATCTACAAAACATTGAATTTTCTGTTTATTACATTTTCTTTGATTTTCCCTTTGCCTCTGTCTTTTCTTAACGCAGTGTCATAGGCTTGACGTCATAGTTGAGCTGTTGAGACGTCGATCGTAGCATAGCAGTTGTGTGATTGAAAGCATTACATAGCATGGATTTTAGCAACATATTTGGGAAGAAATTTGCAGTTTTAGCTCTTTCAAGATGCTTAGTTACTATCTCTATCTTATGACAGGCCAGCAATTATTTTTTACTTACTTTGATATCCTTTCACACTGTGAGAGAATATCATTTTGGTATACTTTCATACTGTGAGAGAATATCACTTTTATTCAATAAATAAATCACAGTATTTCACTGTTGAAAATGTAATACATAGTTTTATTACATTTCTGAGGACTCGATACACTGTGTATCAATGAATGTTCACATTTTGAATTTCATATCATTTTTGCAACTTTTTTTCCAATGATTTATTAAGAGCATGCCTCCTTAAAGTTGTATGCAAAAGCTGAAAAATGGGGGGGGGGGGGGGCAGGTTAACCAGTAACATTTGACTTGTCCATAACTTTAAATCTACTTACGGTGTCAATTTTTATATCAACTTTGGTCATCTGCAGACTTAATTTTGTTTTTTAAAAACATTCTGATTCTAGACACGAGTACTCTGAAGATGCAGGAATTCCTCATTTTAAATATCTATGTAGACTTTGAAGACCTGGTTTATTCCAACAATATGAGCACCATTGTTAACAGACCTGATTTTGTATTCTTATGAAGCAGAATCTGTTCAAACCTTGTACACGAAAAGAAATCTCATACAGTAGCGTTCAATTCGACACTTATAGATATACATGTATATCGATCACATTTCATCACTAAACAATTTTCATTTGTTGATCGATATATCCCACTGAAATCGAAATAAAAGACACCGCAGAGTCTGACACATTTGCTGCATATTTGGAAAGTTCTCTAGATGAAAGACATTGATTGCAAACTAACAACTACAGATTATGAAAAACACATTTTCTATCATCATTGACTTCCTTATTTATGTAAGAATAAGCATTATCGTCTTCATATGATGTTTATGTTCCCCAGTTGATTCGATACGCAAAATCTTACAATTTATATAAAATGAGACAGGCTACTGACAAATAAGTTGATGCTGCAAGAGTATCAACAATCTTGTTTAAAGTCGACATTTCCCAAAACAATAATCTTGTTTGCAAATACACACATTATGTTGTTAGGTAAAATGTTGACTGTCGTTTTCATTCATACGCCATTATTTTCATAATTGTATTTATCACGGATTTCTCCGTTTACCGACACTCGGCGGATGTGACGGTCATTAGGGGATACTTACCCCTCCATGGAACCTGATCACACCTCTGATTCTTTTAGAGGTTTGCATTTGCTTTACTCACAATTTGTATAGCTTCATTGGTCTTTTGAGCATGAGTACTGTTCGTGCATGGCATGTATCCTCTAAATTCTTCAGTAAGATAACATTTTATCACATAAAATTCCACTTAAAATATAGTTGCTTTCATTATCCTGAGAGCCACTGAATAGAATAGCACGAATATATTGAATCTTTAGAAAATGCATGATTATCCCAATGGGTCATCCTAGCTAGACGGAGATGAACATATCCCCTCATTGTATAAAAGTAACAGATCACGCCAAGGTCAACACAAATATGGTATTTCAATCCTCTCACCCTTCCCGATATACCATATATTAAGTCGAAAGAATGAATTTAAATGACTCTTGTTTTTACATGTAAATTCAGGTTGCAGAAAATCCAGACCAGTGGAGTTGAAATCTCTCTTTAGCTATATAAATACTCCATAATTCTTTTACAGCATCTTCTTCATCATATGACTGAGATACCCATCATGGATCCACGTTACAGTGCCCAAGTCATTCTCCTCTGCGACGTGTGTCAAACGGCTGCATTACAGAGTCATTGTGAACTTTGTCATGAAAACCTCTGTATGACCTGTGCTGAGAAACATCTCTCTGATTCATCCAAACGACACAATGTTGTACCATACAAACACCGAACTTCTGCTCCTAAATACCCAAAATGTCCACATCACAGCCGCAAATATTGTGAACTTTACTGTGAGAAATGTGACATTCCTGTCTGTTCTACCTGCATCTCCTCTGGTAAACATAAAAAACACCATTTATCAAATGCTTTGCAAAAACTAAATTCTAAAAGAAAAGATTTAGAAAAAGAGTTGAAAGAACTAGAAGAAACAGTTTATCCTGCATACGAAGAACTTGCATTAGATTTAAACTCTGAAAAATTAAACTTGGAAATGCATTATGAGAAACTGATGACAGCTGTCGAAAAAAGAGGAGAAGAATGGCACAGAGAAATTGACATCATTATCAACAGTCAAAAATCTGAAATTGATGACATGAAAACTAAACACCTGGTTGCTTTAATTAAACAGGAAAAAGAAGTAAAACAAATTACTTCTGCTGTAAACCAGAGTGTTCTTAATCTAAAGAAAATACTGAAATCCAATGAAGTCTCCCTAACATCTATGTACAGATCCAAAAATGTTGAATTCAGACGTTTACCCCCTAGAGTAAAAGTTTCATTACCGAATTTCTCTGCTCGCCAAATAAACAGAGAACAGCTCCATCAAATGTTTGGTTCCCTGTCAGCATTATCCATTACAACAGAAGATCATGGTCACACAATTGAGGCTCCAGAGGCTGTACCCTTTCCTCCAGTCAAAACACTGCTTGATGAACCAGAGTTCATCACTATAGACACTGAGTATGAGAATTTATTCAATGTAACTTGTCTTAGTAATAAAAAAATCTGGACACGAGGAGATGATAAGATCATCAGACTCTACAATCTCCAAGGTAAACTACTGAATTCAATCCAAACAAAGTCAGGTAACTATCCAGCTGACATAGCAGTGACAAGGAGTGGAAAGCTAGTTTACTCTGACTTTCAAGAAAGGACTGTAAACATAGTAAAGAATGAAAAAAAGAATGAAAAGATACAGGAAATGATTCGATTACAGAGGTGGAAACCTTACGGTGTATGCAGTACCTCTTCTGGTGACCTCCTTGTTACCATGATCAGTGATGATGAAAAACAATCAAAAGTTGTCCGTTATTCTGACTCCACAGAGAAACAGACCATTCAATTTGATAGTGAAGGTAAACCTCTGTATTCATCTAATAACATGAAACACATTTGTGAGAACAGGAACCTGGATATCTGTGTGTCTGACTTCGGTGCCTTTGCCGTAGTAGTGGCTAATCAAGCAGGAAAATTCCGATTTAGATACACTGGTCATCCCTTTTCTACCACAGAACCATTCTATCCACAAGGCATCACAACAGACAGCCAGAGTCAGATCCTGGTAGCAGACTATCTCAACAACCGTATCCAAATCCTAAATCAGGATGGACAGTTTGTCCGTTACGTTGATAACTGTGATCTACATCTTCCATGTGGTTTATGTGTAGACACCAGAGACAACCTCTTTGTGACTGAGTATGACGATGAAAACGGTAAAATGAAGAAAATCAAATACATGTTAGAGATCTAATAACCAATTATGAATAAATATCATTAAGTTTGTTTTATCTTCAATACCGACCAGATTTTATATACGATATAATTTTGTTTAACCTGGCATGTGAAATGATTAACATTTTGTATAACATTTCAACGTTCTCAATGGAAATAAATGGTTTTAATGTGTGGTTTCAGTATTCTGCAAGATGAAAATAAATTGTAATTTTGATAAGCCTTGTATCCCTAAAAAGGAAGGTACAGGGCAAAAAATGTTAAAATAGCCACATTTTCACAATCTCTATTTCAACATATGTATGGCAAGGAAGAGCTCTCATTAAAAAAAATTGTTTTTCATGAACCCTTGGGCAGGAATTCATTCTCCAGGACAGGGCCAAAATCATGTACTTACTCTTAAAAAATTTCTCTTTCACATCAATCGATAAGAGTAGCCTAGTGGTAGGATGTTCGCTTCATGATGGAGCTGGTTGGTTTGTTCAATTCTCGTTTTAGCTCAGCTCGACGAAGTCGAGATAAGCTTATGCTATACCCTTGGCGCAGCGTTTGTGTCGGCGTCCTTGTTAAAGTTTTAGGAGCAAATCCATTCCCAAGTAACTATTTGCCCTACCTGGACCAAACTTGCATGGATGATGCATCTAAGAATGGACAACAACAGACTTACTTCAGCTGCTAAATTTGACCTTTATTTTCCAGATGAGTGACCAGATTAATAATTTGGAGCAGGTCCATTCCCAAGTAACTATTTGCCCTATGTGGACCAAACTTGCATGGATGGTGCATCCAGGGAAATGGTACCCAACCCGCTTCGGATGCTAAATCAGACCTATTTTCCAGATGAGTGAATTTTATTCATACACTTTAGCCAAATTAGCAGTAATGTATCAAGGGATTAACATCTCCAGATTTGCGTCGGATGCTGAATCTGAGCTATATTTTCCAGATGAGTGACAGGGCAATGTTTTTGGAATGGCTCTTTAAATATACGGCCTGTTATGATTAACGTAGGTCGCGGGTTTGCTGACGTCGTTAAAACTGGGTACGCAATTTATATGATTTGGGCGACTTTCTTGTGCACATTTGATTATGAGGTCACAAGGAAAAAGAAATCTGCGATGATTTTTGTTTCACTATATCATTATTTAGCTATAACTTTTCTTGGAATTGGTAGTTTAGTGTTATATTATTTAAGCAACAACTTATCACAAATAATGAAGGCTTTTTACGATTTGTATAGTCGATACAATACTTATGTTAAACTTTTGTTGGAATTGGTAATTTAGTGAAGAAGGCTTATTACGATTCGAATGATCGACACTTGAAATATTAAAAAAAGTTTAATTATTTGTTATCAATCGCATCTTCTCGGGCCTTTCCTCCAAGCTTGGAAAAACAAGTGGTTGTTTTTCGGCTTGTCGGAAAGACCCGAGAAATTGCGATTGATTTGTTTTCGCTTGGTATCGCGAAACGATATGGACACAAGGTTCAACTGACCTTTTCTTCCTTTGATTGTATTTGAATTATCGGTTTGTTTTATTAAGAAAGAAACCATTATTTGAAAAAAATCGCAAATACACCTGTTACATCAAAAGATTAAACTTTATTTTTAAAGAGGATATTTTTAAAAAATATATAGATGTACAAGTTTAAATTAAATACTGCTAAGGTACGATGAAACATTAAGACAATTTTTTAGCGACACTGACCTCCTGTTAGGGGACAATACTTGATTCTGAGGGAGGGGGGGGGGGGAGGTGGTGGCAAATTTTACCGAGTCAGATTGTTTATTTTCATGTCGGTGAAGGACAGATTATTTTTTTTCCAAAAAAAAAAAATAAGGACAGATTATTTATTTCTTCTTCACTGAAAAAAGTCTGACAAGCATAAAAAAAAAGAAAGAAAAACATCAAAGTTGAAAACTCCCATGGGAGGGGGGGGGGGGTTGCTAGAACTAGTCTTGGACAGATTATTTATTTTCTTGCCCAGTCGAGGACAGATTATTTATTTTCAACATTTTCGAGGACAGATTATTTATTTCCAAAATCTGTAAGCCCCCCCCCCCCCTGAAATGATCGTCCCCTAAGCAACAGCTTGCATGCTGTTACCTAAAGATTTTATTCGCTACTTTGCTTTCCATGTCCAACAAGTAGAATTAATGTTCCAAAAAAAGATGGCTGTTGATTACGTCAGATAAAATTAATTTTTAAATCCTCGTCCCATTTACCCCTCTGAAAATGTGATATGTAAAAATAAATATTTTGTTTAAATATATACTGAAAATATATTGTATTTAGCCGGACGATATTTGGCAGAAATTCGTAGATTTGAGCGCTTTGTTGAATGGTCTAAATAAAATCATTTTATATACTTGAATTAAAGAATACCGTTTTCCGCCAGCACGCTGGAAAAGAAAAATACCTAGCCAAATGTAAGGATACGTCTAATCTACGAAAAAAAAAAACAAAACAAAACAAAAAGAAAAGAAACGGTAAGAAAACAACACATAAAGAAAGTAAATTGGAAGAAAGAAAGTAAAGGATTGATTGTTGTTTTACGTCCCTTGCGAGAATTTTCACTAATATAAGACCTACAAAAATCCTAATCTGAAGAGAAACATATCTAGTAATCATTTCATTGATATTGAATTATTATGATACGATTCACGGGTCACTTACAAGTAGATAGACGTGAATTTCTTTTTTTTATAAAAATTATTTTAGCTTATTTTTCTGCACTGAATACCTGATAAATATTCACGACGTCAAGCATGACGTCGCGATATTTCATGACGTCGTTCTTAAAAATGTTACATTTTGCGATATAAAAGCAATTATCCACATTTAAATTACGCGAAAACTAACCCGAAGACATATTAATTTTTTCACATTGATTTATTTCAAATCAATTCTTTGTTAAAATACCAAAGGAAAAACAATTTCGTCTGCACCATTTAAAAGTTATTGATATTTTTTGAAACAAAATCTTGCCTCAAAATGAGCCGAAAACGACGTTTTTCTTAAATAATTCAATAGAATAATGTCGAAAATGTAACGACAACAATGGCATGTTTGGGACTTAATTACACAAAAACGATGCAGACGAATTTTATAAAATTTGCAGAGAATATAAAACGAAAGTAGAGGATTCATATATCTAATTTTCATGGTATGTTTTCGGACACTTTTAAATAGCCTGCAAACCCGCGACCTACGTTAAGCTTGCTTGAATGACGCATATAATGATAAACATTCCTAGATTTGCTTCGGATATTGGAAATGACCGATTATTAGAGAACAGGTTAAAGTTGGAGCTGGTCCAATTCCAAGTAACTACAAGTCCTACATAAACCAAACTTGCATGGGTATTTTATGTTTGGACGTACACTAACTAGAAACAAATACGATGCAAAATTTGCCTTACTTAAAGAAAACATTTGCCGAGGTGAGCTTCGTAATCTTTAATTACTTATTACCTCTTCTGAACCAAAGGCTCAAAGAATTAATGCTATGACCATTTGTGCAGTGTGCGTAAACTTTAAAGAATATAGGTCATATCTCAAGAACCCCTTGGCCAACTTTTGTTAGATTTATCACGATGACCTACTTTTTGAATTTTGTATGTATTCGTTTTCATTTTGATTTGGACATTTTGAAGCCTATGATGATCAGAACTTTTAGTTTATGCATACTGAGGCCTTGAATTGTCAACCAAAATGTAAGTCACCATTACATACTTTGTGAATTTGATGGCTTATCATTTTCAAAACATTTAACGTCATTATGCAGATACCGAGAGGTTTAGAATCACCAAACCTTGTAAGTTGATGCATCTTGAGGCCTTGAAAAAGAAAGTCACCGTGACCTTCTTTTGGAATTTTGCAGGCATTCATTCTCAAATTGTTACAGAGAAATATTTTGGACATTTTGAAGACGATGACCATCAAAACTTGTCAGTTAATATATCCTACAACCTCATAGTATTTCAACCAAGAAGTTGGTCACAGTGACCTACTTTTGAAATTTCATAGCTATATTTAAATATTTCAGATACTAATTGCCATAGTATCAAATTTGTTAGTTGATGCATCTTGGGTCCTCGGCGTACGTCAACTGTAAAGAAGGTCACCATGACCTACTACTGGGCTTAGAATCATTAAACTTTCTCAGTTGAAGCATTCTGGGTCCTCAAAGTGTGTCAACTGATAAGTAAAATTTTATGACCATATTTTAATATATGTCAGACACTAATTGGCTTTAAAAAATCATACTTTGTCAGTTGATAATAGGTCCCAAGAACGTGTATTAACTGAAAAGTAGGTCACAATTACCTACTTTTGGAATTTCATTGCTATATTTAAAGATTTCAGATACTAATTGGCTTAGAATCATTAAACTTTGTTAGTTGGTGCATCTTGGGTCCTCGGAGTATGTCAAATGGAAAGTAGTTCACCATGACTTATTTTTGAAATTTCATGGCTATATTCAAATATGTCAGATACTTACTATATATTAAATAAAAGAAGGCTTAGAATCATCAAACTTTGTCAGTTGATGCATTTTAAGGTCTTGCAGTATATTTACCAAAAAGTAGGTCACCGTAACCTTCTTTTGGAATTTCATGGCTGTATCTGAATATTTCAGATATTTATTGGCTTCGAATCGTCATCAAAGTGTGTCAGTTGATGCATCTTGTGTTCTAACGATGTGTTAACCAAAATGTAGGTCACAATGACTTACTTTTGGAATTTGAGGCTTTATCTAAATACTCCCCCTATATAGGATACTAAGAGGCTTTAACCAGAAGTGATAGGTTGTACAATTTATCAGAAGAGCGGTTTAATGCCCTTGGGTCTCTTGTGTTTTTAAATATATAACATATAGATGCAGTTTAATTAAGTTAACTGTATGCATAATAAATAATTTCTGCATTTTTCCTTAAATTTCACAATTTCGTGAATGACAAGTAAACTTACAAAATTATTAAAATGTTAAATTTTTGATTTTGAATAGTCGAAAATTGAATCAAAGGCATTTCTTTTGAAAGAAAATATGAACTTCAGATGTTATCCCCCTGTACATTATTTGTACAGTTGTTCCTA